TGACCTACTCACCTGGCCCGTGGTTCCTTCCCCAACCTCATTTCCTCCCCATTTTTGTCCAGTTCATTCTGCTCCAGCCACATTGGCTTTCATGCTGTCTTGGACCATGGCAAGCTGATCCTGTTTCAGGACCACTGCTTTGGCTGATGCCTCTGCTTGGATCATTCTTCCCTCAGATATTCACCTGTCTCCTCTCCTGACTCCATTTAGGTCACTGCTCGAATATCACCTCCTAACAGAGGCTTTCCCTGACCACACTCTCTAAAATAGCATTGGCCCCCGCATAGCCCCGTTGATCAGTCTACCCCTTACCCTGCTTTTTCTGTCTTCAGAGCACTTACACTACCTGTCATATTATATATTTATTGAGTTGAGCACCATGAGGACTGTCTTGTCTGTTTTATTCATTGGTTTGTCCCTAGCACCTTGAACAGTGCTTTTTTGGCTCTCAATAACTAAGGGATCAATCAATCAAGGAATATGTAAATGAATGAATTCAATGGAAGTACCTGTGTAGAAGGTGAAATAACAAATTCTGTTCACTCCTAGAGTTTTAAATACTTTATCATTTTCATTCCACAATTCTGTCTTTCAGCTTTAGCATTTTCAAATTAAATCCACATATCTATGTATGGGTTTTATTTCAATTTTCCAAACATCACCTTGACAAAATTTAAAATCCAATTGAAGTCAAGTTCAGTTTTAAAGTAACTGATTTGTTTGTTCTCCATCCCATGGGGAAGGAACGTACGTACTTGAGTGTGTGTGTGTGTGTGTGTGTATGTGTGTATGTGTGTGTTTGTGTGTGTGTGAGAGAGTGAGAGAACAGTTACCTTCAGTGAGGAAATTGGGTAGGGAGTGGGTTGGAGAGGCAGGAGTAGGGATTCCAGGTTCCCCAGAAGGAAAATAATTTTGTTTCAATTGCTGTATTTTTTTCCTAAATTGTTGATTCTAAATCCATTTTAAAAAACCTAACTGAAAGCCAAAGAAATGAAAAGCTTGATGAACCTAGAGGTTTGTAAACGTAAATACATCAGTTCAGGGAATTTCCCAGAGGCTCATGCTGAGCCTTGTGAAACCAGGCAAGAGCCTTTATGAAGAGAAACTTCAGCAGAGGAGATAGATATACAGCAGCTACTCAGCAGCTCAGATCTCTATTCAACAATGGAAGTGGTGATGCGGGAACTGCCCCCTTAATTCTGGGATGTGCCTCACCATGAAGTAGAATGTAACTGCCCCTGGAGCCCAAATTCTATTCAAGCAGCTGCCCTCTATGATGGACATAGCCACTGATAGTTGAAGGGAGGCTCCCGGGCTGCCTTGAAAGACAAGATCCCACATAAGTCAAAGCAGCAGCAGCAGCAGTATTTTAAGGGAGCTATTTGAAAAAACTGTTTTCAAATGTATGGCAGCATTCTTTAGTTATGGGTCTCAAACTTGAGCATGCATCAGAATCACTTGGAGGGATTGTTAAAATTCAGATGGCTGGATAGGCACATGAAAAATGCTCAGTATCGTTAATTATCAGAGAAATGCAAATCAAAACTACAATGAGGTATCAATTCACACCAGTTAGAATGGCCATCATTCAAAAGTCCACAAATGATAAATGCTGAAGAAGGTGTGGAGAAAAGGGAACCCTCCTACATTGCTGGTGGGAATGCAGTTTGGTGCAGCCATTATGGAAAACAGCATGGAGATTCTTCAAAAAACTAAAACTTACCATATGATACAGCAATCCCACTCCTGGCATATATCCAGAGGGAACTCTAATTCGAAAAGATATATGCACTCCAGTGTTCATAGCAGCACTATTCACAATAGCCAAGACATGAAAGCAACTGAAATATCCATTGATAGATGACTGGATAAAGAAGCTGTGGTATATTTATACAATGGAATACAACTCAGCCATAGAAAAGAGTAAAATAATGCCATTTGCAGCAACATGGATGGACCTAGAGATCGTTACTCTAAGTGAAGTTAGGCAGAAAGAGAAAGAAAAATACCATATGATATAATTCATATGTGGAATCTTAAAAAAAAAGGACACTATGAACTCATCTACAAAACAGAAACAGACTCTCAGACATAGTAAACAATCTTATGGTTACTGGGGAAAGTGGGTGGGAAGCGATAAATTTGGGAGTTTGAGATTTGCAAATTTTAGCCACTATATATAAAAATAGATTTAAAAAACAAGTTTCTTCTGTATAGCACAGGAACTATATTCAATATCTTCTAATAACCTTTAATGAAAAAGAATATGAAAACAAATATATGTATGTATGTGCATAACTGGGACATTGTGCTGTATACCAGAAATTGACACATTGTAACTGACTGTACTTCAATTAAAAAATAAATAAATAAAAAATAAAATTCAGATGACTGGACTCTACTCTCAGAGTTGTTTTTTTTTTTTGGTGGGGGAAGTGTGGGAGGCAATTAGGTTTATTTTTATTTTTTTAATTCTTATTTTTTATTGAAGTGTATTCAATTTACAATATTAATTTCAGGTGTACAGCAAAGCAATTCAGTTATATATACACATACATATTTTTTTCAGATTCTTTTCCATTACAGCTCGTTACAAGAAATTGAATATAGTTCCCTGTGCTATACAGTAGATCTTTGTTGTTTATCTATTTTATATATAGTAATGTGTACCTATTGATCTCAAATTCCTAATCTATCCCACCTCCTCTTTTTTTAAGGGAGATACTGGGGATTGAACCTAGGACCTCATGCATGCTAGCCATGTTCTCTACCATGGAGCTCTACCCTCCACCCCTACTCTCAGAGTTTCTGATTCAAAAGGTTTGGAGTGGGGTCCTAGAATTCATTTCTAGCAAGTTCCCAGGTGATGCCAATGCTGATTTATAGAACAAACTTTGAGAACTGTTGTTTAGGGGGAAAATGCAGAAATTTGGAAGCAAAGAACTAGGATTCAAGCTTTGTGTTATTTACTTCACCTCCAAGCTTGAGTTTCTTCTTTTCTAACGCAGAGTTTGTAAGGTTGTTATAAGGGTTAAATGGAATAGTGTCAGTGAGATTTCTTTGTGAACTGGACATATGTATACAAATGTTAGCAGTTAAGTGGCTTCGCAAATAGTACTTGCTGCCACCACCTCCCACCAGATTTTCCTGTGCTTTGACCCCTCTCCACCCAACTTTGTCCTACCAAGTCCATCAGGCACCTAGAAAGAAACTAAAGCCAAGAAGGACCTGAATAATAATTTTTTTTAGCCTATTGGACATGGCCTTGTTGCTGATCTTGATTTGACCCCTCTTTTCCTCTGTCCAATGTGTTCTCAACTTGATCCTTATTCTTTAAGCCCTGGCCACCTTGCACAGCCAAGAATAGCATCTCGTGCTGATAACAGGGGTAAAGAACTTTCAGGTGGAACCTTTTTTAATTAGTAGAATAAACAGAGGAATCCACTGCTAAGCAGGAAAGCATTTGTTGGGGAAACCATTTTGCCAGGTTGGTGGGCTCTAGGCTGATTTCCCTGAGGGCAAAATCCAGATGTTTGAAAAAGTTAAGTGGATTCCTAAGTATAATTGCAGATTCTGAATTTAGGAATGTGTCAGCTGTATTAGACAGTTGCCAGGGTAAATGGTAGGTCTACGTAGAATGGTCTTTTTCTTTGAGACCCTTTTCTCATCCCAAAGTAATATATGTGTAATGTAGAAAATTTTGAAATTTTGTGTAAGTATAAGAAAATCAGAATGACCCTTAGTTCTGCCAGACAGAGATAACTACTTAGTGGTAAGATATTAGGATATTTTCACTCAGCCTTTAAAAAAAAATTAGCCACTAAGAAATGTTTTACTTGAAAAGGAATAAGAAAGTCAAAAGCACCCATAACCATATCACTTTAAAATTACATAAAGTACAAAGGAAAAGTCCCCCTTCTGTCCCTATAATGCCAGCTTCCAAAATAATGTCGGTGGAAACTTCCCTGCATTTCCTTAGCTTGTACAGATGAAGAGATGATTATAATACAGTGTTACAATTTGTGTGTCCAGTGCTTGGCATGATGCTTTCCACTGAGGGACCCACATGTCATCTTGTCTTTTAATATGTGAGTGCTTGTAAATGAATATATGTATATGGATATATTTTTTTTGCATTGGGCTGTACCATGTATAGGTTTGTGTTTTGTTTTTTCGCTTACCATTATATTGTGAGCCTTTTCCAGGATCATTAAGCAGCCTTCAAAACTTTTTTTTTACTTTTTTATTGACGTATAGTTGATTTATAATGTTTTAGGTATACAGCAAAGTGATTCAGCAAAGTATCATATGTATGTATATGTGTGTGTGTGTATGTATATATATATATATATATATATTCAGTTATATATATATAACTGAATCACTGAATCACATACATATTATTTTTCAGATTCTTTTCCATTATGGGTTATTACAGGATATTAAATATAGTTCCCTGTGCTACACTCCATCACCCCCCACCATATTTTCCTTTCCCCCATCCATTTTTACATAGTAGTAATGTATCTGTTAATCCTAAATTCCTAGTTTATCCCTCCCCCTGTCCTTTCCCCTTTGGTAACCGTAAGTTTGTTTTCTATGTCAGTGAGTCTATTTCTATTTTTACTTATATGTCTATTTATGTATTTGAGGGTTAATTAGGTTTATTTATTTAAATTTTTTAATGGAGGAGTTTTAATGGCAGACTATTATTCCTTCACCTAACTTCCTAAATGTTGAACGGTTGGGATGTTCCTAATTTTACCTTATAAATAATCCTGCTGTGGATGATACTTCATGTCCATAAATCAATGTTTGCATCTCTAATTGTTCTCTTAGGATAGAATCCTCAGAATGGAAAGACTGGATCAAAGGGTAGGAAATTTTTTTTAAATATGTAACTCACTTCCCATAAAATTCATTACTTTCCAGTGTGAAATTCTGTGTTTTTTAGTATATTTACAAGGTTGTACAACCATCACCACTGTCTAATTCCAGAAAAAAATATGGAATGCTTCACAAATTCGCATGTCATCCTTTTTCAAGGGCCATGCTAATCTTTTCTGTATCATTCCAATTTTAGTATATGTCAGCTAAAGCAAGCACAGTAGGAACATTTTTATGTCTCTTGATAACATATGGCAAATCTCCCTCTGGCAAATGTGTCTCCAGATCCATTCCCATCCAGCAATGTAGAAGAAGAAGAATGCCTATTTCCCTGCAACTTTGCTGACACTTAGTTTGAATATATATATAGCCAATATCATTGAAAATGGCATTGTTTTACCTTTTTGATTAGCTCTTCTGCCTCTCTAGCTGTTATGTAAAGATATGTCACCACCCTCTTTCCTTTGCATGCATTTACCATGGGCAGTCACACCCACTGTGACAGCCTCGGATGCCTCCTTTCTGTGGGTCATAACCACATGTCTGGACCCCACACTAACCTTTCTCAGACTGTAGCCCAGATGTCAGGTAGCTTACTGAGCATGACTATCTACATAATTTGACAGCATAACAAACACGCTCATGCCTAAAACCACTCATGTCTCCTGAAGCCAGCTCATGCTCTCAGCTTCCTTGTCTAGATTAGTGATACCACTTTTCTCCCAGGTGTCTCATGGCCACCTTCACTCCTCTCTCTCCTCCATATTGAATTAGTAGCCCAAGTTTCTTGATTCTGTCTCTCATATCCTTTCTCACATCCTTCCCTTCTGCTCCATTCTCATGGTCATTGCTCTAGTTCTACCTTTAACTGTGTCTATCACGCACTGGCCTACTCACGTCACTATGATTTCAGTACTTATCCACATGATTCATCCTACATGTGGCTATGAGAATAACCTTCCTAACATGCTGCTTTCACCATGTTTCTCTCCTGTCCTGGAACCTCCAAAGCCTCTCTCTTTGCCTATGGGATTATATAAAGTAAATGCTTTATCCTGGCACTTAAGGCCCATCACGTTCTTCCATCATTCTAATTTTACTGCTTGTGTGCCTTACACAAAACCATGTTCTTCTCTCAGCATATTCCTCCTTTTCCCTGTCTTCTTTATGCAAACCTTGGCATGACCTCTTCCCTAGTCTCCTCCAGTTTAAAATTGTACTGAGTCTTCAAAAATCAGAGGTTCTGTCAGGTCTTCCTGCATTCAACGAGTGGTGCTTTCTCCCTTTTTCCCCCCGTGGACTATCTGGTTTTAGACACCAATTTTATAATATTTTCAACAAAAAATTAAGGAAGCTTGCTTAATAATGTTTTTATTACATGAGTGTTTTTTAATTTGTTTAAATTGAAATATAGTTGATTTACAATATTGTGTTAGTTTCAGGTGTACAGCAAAGTGATTCAGATTATCTATCTATCTATCTATCTATCTACCTACCTATATCTTTTTGGTTCTTTTCCGTTATAGGTTATACAAGATATTGAATATAGTTTCCTGCACTATACAGTAAATCTTTGTTATTCTCCTTTTTAAAAAAAACTCTCATCTTGTTAGCTTTTCCTTTATGATAAGACATTCTGCCCTGTTTAGTTACTTAGGGATTTTTATTTACCCCCCTACCACATTATAAATTTTTTGAGCACAGGGATTATACCTTTTTCGTTTTGACGTATTCCATAGTACCTCTCCAAGCACCTGAAATGTAGATAAGAGTTCCATAAATGCTTGAATAAAAGACTGGTAAAGACTGCCAACTTTTTTTTTAAAGAGCTACTAATGACTCAGTTTCGGGAATAAATTCTGTGCTAGGAAGGTCCAGATGCCAGATGACCCAAATGTCATGGCTAATTCTCTTTTTCCTTCACTCTCCACATGCAATCCATCAACCAATGTTGTCAGCTCTACCTCTTTAAGAAATCTCTAATAAACCCTCTTTTCTTGACCTCTGTTGCTTCCTCCCTCGAACAAACCACCATTGTCTCTTACCTATAAGGGACTTTTTAACTGGTTCCCTGGGTTCTATTCTTGTCCTGCCTAAATGCATCAGCCAAGTGAGATCTTTTTAAAACTTAGATCATGATAGTCCCCTGCTTAACAACCCCCAGTAGCTTCCCACTGCACTGAGAATAAAATACAGACTTCTTACGTTGGCCTTTGAAAGCCCCATGGTCTGACCTTGGCACTTCCCCAACCTCATGTCCCACTACTATCCACATTGCTCACTGGGCTCCAGATCTCTGAGCACTGGCCCTTCCTCATTGTCATGTTAGCTCAAATCAGAGCAAGTAGGTTCTCTTGGTTCTCTTGGGGTCATCACTGTTGTTGCCTGTTGTTCCTTGTGCTGTATGTCTTTAGTAGTGGAGATGACTCAGATAGTGGCCACAAGCAATTCTAAGGCATTTGAAACTTGACTTGGGGGAAACCTTGTGTGGATTCAATCCTTATCCAAAAAATTGGTGTCTCCAATACTGAGTTGGAGCTGAAGAAGGTATTTGGCTTAAAGGGAGAAGAAACAAAATCTTTCATTATACCTGGAACCTCCTTCCCAAATACTACTGTTAAAAACCAGAGCTGGAAACATCCTCCACCTTCTTTATCACTCTGGGTGTTGGTTTAGGAAATTGAGCATCATGGCAGAAGCTGACTCAATAGATGGTGTTCTGTGAGCCTATTGTCATTTTCCCTGTATGCTCCTCTGAAGTCTCCCTCAGCCCTCTGGGGTTGCACCCTTAGCTTTTGTATACACAGGGAAGACAGATCCTTGACTTGCTCCCCTTGCTTCTAGAAGCTATGAAATATGCCCCACCCACCTCCTTGTCTTTGATGATAGGTATGTTTTTATCAGACTGTATGTAGAAAAACGAGAATGTGCTTCCCAGTCCACTCTGAAAGAGACTTCCAAGTACTGTGTTTCTAAACCACTAAGCATTTTTCTAGCCCCTAATATTTGCACATCTCTCCTCTGTCATTCATGTGGTTGGCTCCTTCCAACCTTCTTTAGAAAAAGAGGTGTCCTTGTGTTTTAAAGAGTCCAATGTGGAAAAAATGGAGAAATGAAAGCAGAAGGTCAATTGTAAAGGTCCTAACCAGATGAAGGTATCACTTCTGACTTGGAAAGCCAAAAGGCACCCACTGACACCCATCACAGCATTTGAGGGAGTCTTCACTTTTGCCCCAACATGCCCTTCCATTCTTATTTACTACCCTGGGTTTCCTTTTAGCCAGGAATGATCCTGAGCTGGAGGGTGGAGAGGGGGATCCAGCAAATTTACATGAAAGAACTTGACCTGGCTTTTCAGAGGGGTGAGGGGAGATAGAGGAAGTGGGAAAGGTTGGGAGGCAGAACTAGGTACCAAAATCTCTTTCTACATGAAGTACCTGTCTCTCAGATGACCCAAATTGTAACTCTCCAATGGACAAGAAAGGCATTGTCCTAAAAGTTCTCTTTAAAATGATAGAAACAACACAAATGTCCATCAACTGGTAAATAGATAAGTAAATTGTAGTATACAGAATGGAATATTATTCAGCAATAAAAAATGAAGTACTGATGCATGATACTACACTGGTGAACCTTGAAAACATGATGCTAAATGAAAGAATCCAAAAACAAACAAAAAAATCACATATTATATGATTCCACTGAAATGAAATGGTCAGAATAAATAAGTCCATAGAGAGGGAGGGTATAGCTCAGGTGTAGAGCATATGCTTAGAATGCACAAAGTCCTGGGTTCAATCCAATCCCAGTACCTCTGTTAAACAAAAATTTTTAAAAATAAACTTAAAATTTTTTAAAAACAAGTCCATAGAGACAGAAAGTAGATTAGTGGGAGAGGGTATGCTCAGTGGTAGAATGTATGCTTAGCATGCACAAGGTCCTGGGTTCAATCCTCAGTACCTCCATTACAAAAGAAAATCTTTTAAAAAATAAATAAACCTAAAAACTAAAAGCAAGTCCATAGAGACAGCAAATAGATTAGTGGTCACCAAGAACTAGAGATAGGGATGGGGGAGATGAAGGGATGGGGTTTCTTTGTGGTATGATAAAAATATTCTAGTTGATTATGGTGATGATTGCATAATTCTGTGAATATACTAAAAAAAACATTTAACTGTAAACTTTAAGTGGGTGAGTTTTTTATGGTGTGTGAATTATGTCTCAATAAAGCTGTCTTATAAATATTTTGTTTTTATTTTTGGGGGGAGGTAATTAGAAATTTATTTATTTGTTTATTTATTTTCATGGAAGAACTAGGGATTGAACCCAGAACCTTGTGCATGTCAAGCATGTGCTCTACCACTGAGCTATACCCTCCCCCTGAAAGCTGTTTTTTAAATAAATAAATAAAATTATACAGATATATATATACACACACACACACACACACAGATATATACACAAATACACACATACATACCCATACCCATACACATACACACAAATACATACACATACACATACATGTTCCCCCTTGGTTGGGTATGTATAAGGAAGGGTCTCTGGATCCCCAGGCTGCAGGGTCCCCCAGCTAACAGTGGGGTGTGAGGAGACCTTCATAGCTCTGTATCCCTCTTGCAACCAAGCAGCTTTTGCCTTCTTCTGTCAGATAAACAAGCCAGGCATTGTTCTGTCCACCGGCCTGTGTGCAGGCTTCCCTTCCTGCTGAGCGGGTCAGAAAGAGCTTGGATTCCTTCATGTGGGGCAGGTGGAATATACTGTCTAGGGGGAGGCTGGCCGAGCCACAGAAAGTAAACAGAGCTAATCAAGGACACTCTTTTGTGCTTCTCCTTATCTAAACACTTTCAGAAGAGGAAAGAGCCTGCAGTTGGTTATGGCCCAGACCTCAGGCTAAGCACGACCCCAAGCAACAGGGGCCATATTTTACTTCTGGCCCTGGGTTGGGACAGAGCCATTGTTCATTTTCTGCTCGTCCCCTACCTTCCCCCCAACAAGTAGTCCTTGAGGGATCTGTTTGGAGCCAGGTTCAGAGACAAGTAGTACTGTCAGAAGATATTGGGGTGACATCCCACTAGAGTAGCTGGAGATTGACTCCTTCTAGAATTGGTCCACCTCCCTCCCCACACCTCTCACAACGGTCTTTACAAGGACTCTTCTGGGAGCCAGCTTCTGACTGATCTGCCACCTCTGCCACAT